CCCACACCTCGCTCAGCCAGTGAGCGGGAACCGGTCTGTATGTGGGATCCAAACCCTCGGCGGGAGCGCCACCACACTCCCAAGCGGCGCACTGTAGCAGTGCGCCACCGGGCCGGCCCAAGGGTTGAATGATTTCAAATGCCCTGGTCTCAGGAGAAGATTTAACTTTTATACTGGGGCAGTAGTTCACTTTAAAACACAAATGTTTTTTAAAAAATCCTAAGAACTGACACCCAAAATGCTATGTCTTGAATCTTGAGATCCATCAGTCCTTGACATCATCTAAACATGCATCTAGATCTACACTGTAAAATCTTCTTAGGCATGTGTTAAGTTTCTGTGAAAACTTTGTTTAAATGTAAACTTCATACCACAGTCAGTTTTTGTCTTAATAAAACTACAGATTTATAATCCTCGAAAAAAAAAAATCTATAACATCAAACTGCTACTGGAAACATACTTTTTACCTTTCTAATACTTGAAAATAAAAGGAATATCAAAATAGTTTTAAATTTTTTCTTGTGAGAACATTCCATTCTATCGGGGATAGTGGGCCAATGAAAGGTTTAGAAGCATGGGAACTGCAATCATATTGTAACTCTCACTGCAACAAAATCCCTAGTCACAACTCATCTCTTAGTCTCTTCGACCAGGGTTCGAGTTTGGGTTTACTCCTCACTACAGATGACAGACTGTATTTGTGGAATATACTATAAAGCATATGTACTTCACAGGGCCTGGTTTTCCAAAGCCTTTCAGTTTCAAATATTGACCTTGCAGAGGACTGGAAACTTTCCTCAGGCTATAAGTCTATGGTGTAAGATAAAGATTTGTGACACAGCAAGGTTGCTGGCTGGAGGAGAGACTAGTTACTGATTGTTATGTAAAGATACTGAGAAATTGCTGTAAGAAGAAATGTTTACTAAGATCAAGCATTTGTTAATTGCCTTACTGGAATGTCATCTGGCTTGTTTCACTGAAAGTTACCAGCCTATATTGTTAAACTATAACCCCACCTACGTTCTCTTCCTGTAACTTCCTGGTCTGGAAAATAAATGCAGGAAGAGAACACCAATTTGGGGTTAATTTCCCAAGAAAGGGCTGCCTCTCCTTGAGCATTCCCAAGGGAAGTTAACCACTTTGGGGTCTCTCACTGCTCAGAAGAGATGGGCTTTGAATAATCCTTTGCATCTCCGTCACCCAGGGGAAGTGCAGTGACAAATCCGT